AAGTATTCTTTCTGAAATACCAAAGAGTGATAAAATAAAGTTGTTTGGTTCATAAGTGTTATGTAGTTCATGAAGCATTCTTTCTGAAATACAAAAGACTGAAAAAATAAAGTTGTTTGGTTCATAAGTGTTATGTAGTTCATGAAGCATTCTTTCTGAAATACAAAAGACTGAAAAAATAAAGTTGTTTGGTTCATAAGTGTTATGTAGTTCATGAAGCATTCTTTCTGAAATACAAAAGAGTGAAAAAATAAAGTTGTTTGGTTCATAAGTGTTATGTAGTTCATGAAGCATTCTTTCTGAAATACAAAAGACTGAAAAAATAAAGTTGTTTGGTTCATAAGTGTTATGTAGTTCATGAAGCATTCTTTCTGAAATACAAAAGAGTGATAAAATAAAGTTGTTTGGTTCATAAGTGTTATGTATTTCATGAAGTATTCTTTCTGAAATACCAAAGAGTGAAAAAATAAAGTTGTTTGGTTCATAAGTGTTATGTAGTTAGTGAAGTATTCTTTCTGAAATACAAAAGAGTGATAAAATAAAGTTGTTTGGTTCATAAGTGTTATGTATTTCATGAAGTATTCTTTCTGAAATACCAAAGAGTGATAAAATAAAGTTGTTTGGTTCATAAGTGTTATGTAGTTCATGAAGTATTCTTTCTGAAATACAAAAGAGTGATAAAATAAAGTTGTTTGGTTCATAAGTGTTATGTATTTCATGAAGTATTCTTTCTGAAATACCAAAGAGTGAAAAAATAAAGTTGTTTGGTTCATAAGTGTTATGTATTTCATGAAGTATTCTTTCTGAAATACCAAAGAGTGATAAAATAAAGTTGTTTGGTTCATAAGTGTTATGTAGTTCATGAAGTATTTTTTCTGAAATACAAAAGACTGAAAAAATAAAGTTGTTTGGTTCATAAGTGTTATGTAGTTCATGAAGTATTCTTTCTGAAATACAAAAGACTGAAAAAATAAAGTTGTTTGGTTCATAAGTGTTATGTATTTCATGAAGTATTCTTTCTGAAATACCAAAGAGTGATAAAATAAAGTTGTTTGGTTCATAAGTGTTATGTAGTTCATGAAGTATTCTTTCTGAAATACAAAAGAGTGATAAAATAAAGTTGTTTGGTTCATAAGTGTTATGTATTTCATGAAGTATTCTTTCTGAAATACCAAAGAGTGAAAATATAAAGTTGTTTGGTTCATAAGTGTTATGTATTTCATTAAGTATTCTTTCTGAAATACCAAAGAGTGATAAAATAAAGTTGTTTGGTTCATAAGTGTTATGTAGTTCATGAAGTATTCTTTCTGAAATACAAAAGACTGAAAAAATAAAGTTGTTTGGTTCATAAGTGTTATGTAGTTCATGAAGTATTCTTTCTGAAATACAAAAGACTGAAAAAATAAAGTTGTTTGGTTCATAAGTGTTATGTAGTTCATGAAGCATTCTTTCTGAAATACAAAAGACTGAAAAAATAAAGTTGTTTGGTTCATAAGTGTTATGTATTTCATGAAGTATTCTTTCTGAAATACCAAAGAGTGATAAAATAAAGTTGTTTGGTTCATAAGTGTTATGTAGTTCATGAAGCATTCTTTCTGAAATACAAAAGACTGAAAAAATAAAGTTGTTTGGTTCATAAGTGTTATGTAGTTCATGAAGCATTCTTTCTGAAATACAAAAGACTGAAAAAATAAAGTTGTTTGGTTCATAAGTGTTATGTAGTTCATGAAGCATTCTTTCTGAAATACAAAAGAGTGAAAAAATAAAGTTGTTTGGTTCATAAGTGTTATGTAGTTCATGAAGCATTCTTTCTGAAATACAAAAGACTGAAAAAATAAAGTTGTTTTGTTCATAAGTGTTATGTAGTTCATGAAGCATTCTTTCTGAAATACAAAAGACTGAAAAAATAAAGTTGTTTGGTTCATAAGTGTTATGTAGTTCATGAAGCATTCTTTCTGAAATACAAAAGAGTGATAAAATAAAGTTGTTTGGTTCATAAGTGTTATGTATTTCATGAAGTATTCTTTCTGAAATACCAAAGAGTGATAAAATAAAGTTGTTTGGTTCATAAGTGTTATGTAGTTCATGAAGTATTCTTTCTGAAATACAAAAGAGTGATAAAATAAAGTTGTTTGGTTCATAAGTGTTATGTATTTCATGAAGTATTCTTTCTGAAATACCAAAGAGTGAAAAAATAAAGTTGTTTGGTTCATAAGTGTTATGTATTTCATGAAGTATTCTTTCTGAAATACCAAAGAGTGATAAAATAAAGTTGTTTGGTTCATAAGTGTTATGTAGTTCATGAAGTATTCTTTCTGAAATACAAAAGACTGAAAAAATAAAGTTGTTTGGTTCATAAGTGTTATGTAGTTAGTGAAGTATTCTTTCTGAAATACAAAAGACTGAAAAAATAAAGTTGTTTGGTTCATAAGTGTTATGTAGTTCATGAAGTATTCTTTCTGAAATACAAAAGACTGAAAAAATAAAGTTGTTTGGTTCATAAGTGTTATGTAATTCATGAAGTATTCTTTCTGAAATACCAAAGAGTGAAAAAATAAAGTTGTTTGGTTCATAAGTGTTATGTAGTTCATGAAGTGTTCTTTCTGAAATACAAAAGAGTGATAAAATAAAGTTGTTTGGTTCATAAGTGTTATGTAATTCATGAAGTATTCTTTCTGAAATACCAAAGACTGAAAAAATAAAGTTGTTTGGTTCATAAGTGTTATGTAGTTCATGAAGCATTCTTTCTGAAATACAAAAGACTGAAAAAATAAAGTTGTTTGGTTCATAAGTGTTATGTAGTTCATGAAGCATTCTTTCTGAAATACAAAAGAGTGATAAAATAAAGTTGTTTGGTTCATAAGTGTTATGTATTTCATGAAGTATTCTTTCTGAAATACCAAAGAGTGAAAAAATAAAGTTGTTTGGTTCATAAGTGTTATGTATTTCATGAAGTATTCTTTCTGAAATACCAAAGAGTGATAAAATAAAGTTGTTTGGTTCATAAGTGTTATGTAGTTCATGAAGTATTCTTTCTGAAATACCAAAGAGTGAAAAAATAAAGTTGTTTGGTTCATAAGTGTTATGTAATTCATGAAGTATTCTTTCTGAAATACCAAAGAGTGATAAAATAAAGTTGTTTGGTTCATAAGTGTTATGTAGTTCATGAAGTATTCTTTCTGAAATACAAAAGAGTGATAAAATAAAGTTGTTTGGTTCATAAGTGTTATGTATTTCATGAAGTATTCTTTCTTAAATACCAAAGAGTGAAAAAATAAAGTTGTTTGGTTCATAAGTGTTATGTATTTCATGAAGTATTCTTTCTGAAATACCAAAGAGTGATAAAATAAAGTTGTTTGGTTCATAAGTGTTATGTAGTTCATGAAGTATTCTTTCTGAAATACAAAAGACTGAAAAAATAAAGTTGTTTGGTTCATAAGTGTTATGTAGTTAGTGAAGTATTCTTTCTGAAATACAAAAGACTGAAAAAATAAAGTTGTTTGGTTCATAAGTGTTATGTAATTCATGAAGTATTCTTTCTGAAATACCAAAGACTGAAAAAATAAAGTTGTTTGGTTCATAAGTGTTATGTAGTTCATGAAGTATTCTTTCTGAAATACAAAAGACTGAAAAAATAAAGTTGTTTGGTTCATAAGTGTTATGTAGTTCATGAAGTATTCTTTCTGAAATACAAAAGACTGAAAAAATAAAGTTGTTTGGTTCATAAGTGTTATGTAGTTCATGAAGTATTCTTTCTGAAATACCAAAGAGTGAAAAAATAAAGTTGTTTGGTTCATAAGTGTTATGTATTTCATGAAGTATTCTTTCTGAAATACCAAAGAGTGATAAAATAAAGTTGTTTGGTTCATAAGTGTTATGTAGTTCATGAAGTATTCTTTCTGAAATACAAAAGACTGAAAAAATAAAGTTGTTTGGTTCATAAGTGTTATGTAGTTCATGAAGTATTCTTTCTGAAATACAAAAGAGTGATAAAATAAAGAAGGATTTCTGAAATACTGTAAAGCGTTTATAAATAGAACAACATTGGTGCCTCAAAAGTGTTCTATCTTGGAGCTGTTCAAAAGTGTTCTATCTGGGAGCTGTTCAAAAGTGGTCTATCTGGGAGCTGTTCAAAAGTGTTCTATCTGGGAGCTGTTCAAAAGTGTTCTATCTTGGAGCTGTTCAAAAGTGTTCTATGTGGGAACTGTTCAAAAGTGTTCTACTTTAGGTGTTCAACTTTAAACCTTTCACTGTAGTACAATATAGGCTTTCTGAATATGAGACGTGACATTCAGTATAAAAAAATTAAAAATATTTTTCATCAAATCTGATTATTTCACCAATCATTCATCTTACATTTTAAACTGACATTGCTATAAGAAATACTTAACCAGCAATATTTAAGTTTTTATGAAAAAATAACAGTATCAAAAGAGAGTAAGAACAAATGACACACAAACTAACTAGAAAACAGCAACTTCATGGAGGCTTTCTGAATATGAAACCACATCTGACAGAATAAAATAAAAAATATCTTTCATCAAATCTGATTATCACACAAAGATATATATCATTATCCTACACTTAGTGTACTAAATGTATAATAACATGAAAAAATAAATTTGATATTTATTGGCAAAATGAATATCCGGAGGATATCGTTACAATATACTCCGGGCGGAGGATATCGTGACGATATCCTCCGGAAAACCCAATATACGGAGGATATTGTGACGATATACTCCGCTAGTTGATTTCCCGCCAAATTGACTCTATTTGGCATGAAATTCATTTTACAATGATATTATACATTCAGTACACTCCTTGTAAGTGTAGGATAATAAGAACATCCTAAGATTTTTTTCAGAATATCATTTTAATCTACTCGGTGATATTGATATATGCACTCGTTCGCTTCGCTCTCTCATGCAGATATCAATATCACCTCGTAGATAAAAATGATATTCCTCAAAATCATAGGATATCCTATAATTACCTACCAAGTATTTCATTCTGTGTTTCTGACCAGTGACGTGGGAAATAATGACACGTGGGTCACACATACTCTCGCAAAGGTTACAGACATAGCGCTCTTCAACACTTGGGTCATTCTTCTGAAACTCTGTTATGTACTGAAGGCCTGAAAATACAAGATGAATTGAAAATCAACACAAAAACATAAGTTGGGAAAATTGTTACACCTTGATTCATAGTTACAAGAGAGAAACAAATGGGCAAAAAGTTCTGAGAGAAACAAATGCGCAAAAGGTTCTGAGAGAAACAAATGCGCAAAATGTTCTGAGAGAAACAAATGCACAAAATGTTCTGAGAGAAACAAATGCGCAAAATGTTCTGAGAGAAACAAATGCGCAAAAAGTTCTGAGAGAAACAAATGCGCAAAAGGTTCTGAGAGAAACAAATGCGCAAAATGTTCTGAGAGAAACAAATGCACAAAATGTTCTGAGAGAAACAAATGCGCAAAATGTTCTGAGAGAAACAAATGCGCAAAATGTTCTGAGAGAAACAAATGCGCAAAATGTTCCGAGAGAAACAAATGCGCAAAAGGTTCTGAGAGAAACAAATGCACAAAATGTTCTGAGAGAAACAAATGCGCAAAATGTTCTGAGAGAAACAAATGCGCAAAATGTTCTGAGAGAAACAAATGCGCAAAATGTTCCGAGAGAAACAAATGCGCAAAAGGTTCTGAGAGAAACAAATGCGCTAGTGGTGGTAAAACCTGAACTAAACTGAGATGTAACTAAATACGAAACATTAAAAAACGAGACAAATTTCCTACTTTTGGGGAAAAGGATCTGACAAATGAAAACAATTTCAAATTTTTTAAGGCAGTTTTAAATTTCATTAAACACATTTAAACACACGATAACAATAATTCAAATTCAGGGCACCAAAAAGGGCACCAGACAGGTAGAAAAACAGATTGTCTTTAAACTATATTATTTTTACACTACTATGACTAAATGTAATTCTATATTCATTATTGTAATTTAAATTCACTTAAGGACAGGGTGCATGTTGGGAAATTTTCTGCACTCCTCAATTGAGTCACATGTTATTTTTCAAACATGAATAACTCCTTCCCCACATTGTCTACATCTTTTAAGTTTGCACAAAGAGTGCACCTTTGTGCCTAGAAAAGCCTTGTGAGAAGGTTTGTTTTGTAAAATGTATAAAAAATGAGAAAATTCAGTGAAAAAAAATTCTGAAAATTTTCTGATTTTTTTCACTGAATTTTCTTGTTTTTTATACGTTTTATCAAAACATTCTTCTCACAAGTCTTTTGTAGGCACATAAGTGCACTCTTTGTGCAAAACTGGAAGATAAAGACAATGAAGAGAAGGAGTGATTCTTGTTTGAAAAATAACATGTGACTCAATTGAGGAATACAGAAAATTTCCCATCATGCACCCTGACCTTAAAGCGGGAGTAGAAATGCCCTTTCTTGGCGATTACGCCGTGATTAAGATGTAAATTTATTTATGACTTTTATGAAATAAAGAGTACTTATGATTAAAAAAATGGTTACAAGGAAAACAAGGCATTAACTACCAAACACCAAAAGCCGAACACTGTCTACAAAAAAGTTGGAGACTATAACAATATGTCACCACTTATAGCACATGACTGTAAAAATATGGCGAATGAGATGTTGCCCACCTTCATGTGGACAAAATACAAGACACTGTGACATTTATTCAAAGCTCTTCATCTTGCATCATTGTACTTATGCTTTTATTCGTGAAAAGTGAAGCTGGCCACATAAGAGTTAACTACATGTGCTGGTCACATAAGAGTTAACTAAATGTGCTGGACACATGAGGGTTAACTACAATTGCTTACCTATGAGAGGTTTATCACATTCCTCAAGTGTTGGAGTGATGCGATGGCCACATTAGAGTTAACTAAATGTGCTAGACACATAAGAGTTAACTACAATTGCTTACCTATAAGAGGTTTATCACATTCCTCAAGTGTTGGAGTGATGCGGAGTGTTCCACTCTTTCCTGCAGCAGACTTTTTCTTTGGTAGGGTAAGAGGTTCTGTAATATATACATGTACAGCATCAAAAGTTAATGGCAATAAATTATCAAATCAAAATTATCAAAATAATTGATTTCATGATGCAATGATGTTTGTGACTAAGTTGCCAGTTCCTTCGACTAACTTGTTTCAACGGGAATGTTAAAACAAAAGATAAAGCGGGAATTACATTATAATGTCCCACTTATACAAGATATCATTTATATTTCTGTTAAGTACTTGAAACCTCACTATTAAAATAAAACAGAGTATTGGAGACAATTTTCACTCTTGTTTTTAAGAGCAATTCAGAATCTCGTAGTCATATTACTCTTTCTGTGATTGGCTAAAAACAGGCCAAGTGACAAAAAATATCCTATGATATTTTCGTGTCACGCTTACTGTTGATTTGCCAACACTAAATCTTTACTTTGAAGAGTGAATATGTCCTACAATTTGAAATCTTAACTTTGACAAAAAAGCTTTGTAACTAGGGATTTTTGAGGTCACAAAAGCTCATTGTCAAAGTGCTCTATAATGAAGCAATTTAAACCTTCTGTGTAACAGGTTACAATATTCTTATGTTTTGAAAAGAATTGAACTACCATACTGAAAATGTTTGCCTTATTTTGAATCTCAAAATTAATGAAAAAGCGTTAGTTTAACATTTCTGCTTTCAAATGGTATATGAGATGATGAAGCAAATCCATTCAAAATTGAAGCATCATTTTGTGGAAACTTATTCAAAATAAATACTTCAATTTAAGTTATAAGTAGTTTAATTCAGATTTTAATCATCAAACTTTTTATAAACAGAAGGGGTCCCCTCAAAATATGAAAATAGTTGTTGAAACGATAATCAATATTTTGAATGTACCCCTAAATTGTGTACATTATTCAACAGATTACAAATGTTTAATTATATTCAATAATTCTATTAAGTAAATGAAAATGGATCAAAAACGGAACACATTCAATGCCTATTGGTTTAAAACATACATTGCAACGACGATGTATGATTTACTCTCGTAGATTATAGACAATGGTGTCGTGATCATAAATTCAGTTTCTAAATTCTTATAATCATGTACCACTGCCTTCTATAATTATGAAGTTGAGTCAAAATCAATGTCACTGTTTACATCAATTTTAAAATAAAGTTTAATTTAGTTTAGGGTAACCAAATTTGCAAATCAAAATTCCCTGTCTTTTTACTGATTCAAGCGTAGATTTATAATCGATCACAGTCGCAAAAAATAATCTGTTGAATTGTACACATAACCAAAGATACCACCTTTATCAGCCGAGGCTTACATTCAAGCCCCGGTTTCCAGGAGAATTCTAGTGTTTGGTTTGCGACAAACTTAAGCGTTCTGATAAATCAGAATGCTGTTCAGTTTATTGCACTCACCCCCGTTTTGCCGTTTGACTTCATTCTGGAATTAAACCAACATCATCAAAGTACATGGAATAAAAATCTCAAATACACATGGTTTGAATGAGAATGAAACTGGGTTGGCCAAGGAGGATTTACTCCCAGCATTCTCTTATGATCTTCTTTTGACTGGCATTGTACAATTTGGTAGTAATATTACCAAAATGTTCATTGCCAAAATAATTGGTCTGGAGAAGAACATTGTAGTATATTATCAATTTCGTCAAAAGAAAATCACAAAAATGAAGGGAGGTTGACATTGGATATTTCAAACTACAAGGCGTATGCCAATGTTGTTACAAAATGTTCCAAGTGACAAGGATTACGAATGGAATATCTATATGATAAATAAACAAGGCATTAACATGCAAAATGTCATGACCTGCCATTTGTTACAGATGATGAACACTGACTGCCATCACAAAAAAGTTGGAGACTATAACAATATGTCACCACTCGTGGCAAAATAATTCAAACTTCTTATTTTTTTGCGCCATATTGGGAATTTTGCAATCAACAGTCGATTTGAGAATAAGCCTCCAGCATTCTTTTGACTACCATTGATAAAGTTTGTAAAAATATTATTATTACATTAATGCCAATATTGGACTGCCAATGACAATATTGGACTGCCAATGTCAATATTTGACTGTCAATGCCAATATTAGACTGTCGATGTCAATATTGGACTGTCAATGTCATTATTTGACTGCAAATGCCAATATTTGACTATCAATGTCAATATTGGACTGTCAATGTCAATATTGGACTGTCAATACCAATATTAGTCTGTGAATGCCAATATTGGACTGCCAATGCCAATATGGACTGTCAATGCCAATATTGGACTATCAATGCCAATATTGGACAGTCAATGCCAATATTTGACTGGCAATGTCAATATTTGACTGTCAATGCCAATATTAGACTGTCGATGTCAATATTGGACTGTCAATGTCATTATTTGACTGCAAATGCCAATATTTGACTATCAATGTCAATATTGGACTGTCAATGTCAATATTGGACTGTCAATGTCAATATTGGACTGTCAATACCAATATTGGACTGTCAATACCAATATTAGTCTGTGAATGCCAATTTTGGACTGCCAATGCCAATATTTGACTGTCAATGTCAATATTTGACTGTCAATGCCGATATTTGACTGTCAATACCAATATTGGATTAGCAGTGCCAATATTGGACTGTCAATGTCAATATTTGACTGTCAATGCCAATATTGGACTGCCAATGCCAATATGGACTGTCAATGCCAATATTGGACTATCAATGCCAATATTGGACAGTCAATGCCAATATTGGACAGTCAATGCCAATATTGGACAATCAATGCCAAAATTTGACTGACAATGTCAATATTTGACTGTCAATGCCAATATTGGACTGTCTATGCCAATATTGGACTGTCAATGCCAATATTGGACTGTCAATGCCAATATTGAACTGTCAATTTCAATATGTTAAATTGTAGCAATCATGTGTTCAACCTTACTTGTGAACTCTGGATTAAGTTTTGTGTTATGTGTTACCTTTTTATGAGTTATGTGTTACCTTTTTATGAGTTATATATTACCTTTTTATGCAGCTTTCCAGTCATGTGCTGGTTCCAGGTCAGTTCTCCAGTGGCCCTTACTTGACAAAGCTGCAAATACAAGACATGTGCACATTTATATATGTGCACAAATACAAGACATATGCACATTTATATATGTGCACAAATACAAGACATAGCCATATAAATAGCAGGGGTTTCATTAGCAGCAGGCAACAGGCGATTTTCACCTTTTGTTTTTACATGATCGCCTGTTGTTTTTAGGGACTTTTCAATTTTTCCATGTTAAATTTATGATTATTATTTAGCCTGTTGTAAGAAATTATAGTGAAACCCTTGCAAGACATGTTCATATACATATTCATAGGGCGTTCAATGTACTGAGGTAATGCACTGAAGAAATGGACATCAAAAATTGGAGTACTGAGGAGTACTGAGTAACATCTGTATAATCTAAATGCCACTGGGACTGGCCAGAGAAAAGAAAAGTGCTCAGACCATTTTACTATTGCGAGTTAAATGTACTTAGCTGATACCAGAGAATGTTGCTTTGTTGTGTGCGTAACTTCCCACAACTTTCTATACAGAGCGTAACTTTTACAAAACAGCACAACTTACCACATCTTTTGAACCTTCAGCTAGTTTTCTAGTCAATATATATCATAAATTCCATGATAAAACAACTCAAAATCAGTCTCAAACAATTTTTTAAAAAAAATTTGCCGATATAGGCAATTTATTTTTGCTTTAAAACATTATTTATGGCATTGCGACATTAAAGACAAGTACTTGTTTAAGTTATCTGGTAAAATTGAAAAGATTCGCTAAATAATGTACTAGAAATCCACTTTAGATCTTTAAAATCTCTTAGTTTAATAGACATATGTAGCGATTTTAGGTCAATGTTCATGAGAAAGACCCAGCTCATAGGGTTCCACCTCTGCCAAAAATTCCAAGAAATTTTGTCTCTTGCAACCCCTGGCACAACTTTTGGGAAAAAATTGCAAATTTCTCTGGTGTCAGACTTAAGGTTGCGAGGAAAATTAGCCTAAATGCTCTTTGAAAAATTGAAATTAAAGTGACTCACTTCACAAAAAAATAATTCTGGTTTACTCTTATCCCCTCCTTCGGTCTTACGAGACTCTGCCGCAGAATCAGTGTTAGGAACGGCTGGAGTTTTAAACGCTGAGGGCACATCGTTTGCAGATTTGGTTACAAGCTTTGATTGTGTGAGTTTTTGCGAATCAATCTTCGGCTCTGATGAGTACTGGGTATGCTGATAACTAGGGCCATTTTTTGGACCTTTTGAACGATCATTGGATTTGGGCGGCCATGAATTTCCAGAACTCAAGCCAGTTTGAGATTTTGGGGGCCATGAGTTTGTTAGACCTGAATCGCCGCCATAGTTATTATTAGGTGGCCAAGAATTTCCTGTGTTCTTTGGTGGGGGCCATTGTCCCGATGATGCTGGAATTAATACAATTTGAAACCTAGGTTATGATAATATCACCAATATCAGGCTCGTAGCCAGGATTTGCTAGGCCTGAATTATCTTCTATTTAAATAGAGGTCCCTTTTATCATGTGTGAAATACAAAGTATAAAAAATGAGACAGATTATTTGTTAGGCTGTGAGGTCGAGCAAAACAGGGGTATGCCGCCGCAAATTTAAATGGTGCGTTCTGAGCGATATCAGATTGTGAAATGGGAAACTATTTATTGTATATATTGTTCGTGTTTAATTTTTATACAATTTATCTTTTTGCTCCATCATTGTAGCTTCGTGTATACCTGGCTATACACCTGGATAATTATATTTAATGTACCTTGTATGAATGGATTTGTTGAAGACTGGAATGGGGGGAATTCACCCCCTCCCCCACTGCTATAACCATAGTCATCCTGACTGAAATCCATCTTGACTTAAAGTTCCTAGAAACAAAAATTGAAAACATAATATAATATTTATGGTTTTATATAAATGTCTAATAATGGAATATTGCAGTGACACAAGATGTCAAATGACAAATAACTGCCTACTGGAGAATTCAGTTTATTACTAAAATTTTCAAAACGAACATGGCGAAAAGCGTAGATTGAAATTATGTGCCATTTGAAATAGCTTCACACTGCAATAACCCCATACGTTGAAGTCTGATGCAAACAATCACAAATAAACAACATTTACAAACCTTCACAATCAAATAAACACGGGGATTGTATCAAGTACTTTCTGGTCCTCTATGGCACAGGTGTTGGCCAGATCGTTTTGGAGTAGGATCTTGCAGGCTCAAAGAACATGTCAGAAGATGCGTCACTAAATTGGAAATTTTCTTCAAAAAAAAGTTACCACCTTTCAAAACATTCCTCATACAAAATGGTACCTGTTTCCCCATGACAGATTTTGCACTTATTTTATAGGCGAGTTCTTGATCTTTCTATTTCTACTTGTTTGGTTCGAGTAAATTACCTAAGGACGCAGTAATTTGACTTTTAATAGGGCAAATATTTTTTACTTGATCTGGGCTCTTGTGTGTCAAAATATCATTGTAATGCTGATGTCACATTTCTGGAATCACAGGAGCACCATTCAGATTTGGAGAGACAAGACCCCGAAGATAAAATATCACTATCTTGGTCTCTTATCAACGCAGGATTGCTTGAATACGATTCATTAGTGATCAGAAAGGTAAAGAATAACAAGACGCTTTAATTGAGGTACGATTTGTCTCACATTCTTCTGAAACGGCCGCACAATCGTAATTTTAAAAATTTTCTTAGACATATCTTCCGAATTATTCTTTGAGCTTCTGATCCTACTACAAAAGAATCTGGACGGGATCTATGCTCTATGGGGTATCAATAGTGTGCCTAGTGAGATGACACCATAAGAACCCCGTAAATGAGCAAAAAGGACTTGCTACAACCTCCTGTTCACTAGGACTATTTTGAAATGAATTCAAAACAACAAAAAATTGAAAAAAATAACATGGTAAACGCGCAGATATGTGAAAATATTTAAGAACTTGAATGATGTCAACAATAGTATAGAAGTAAATGTCCCCACGCTTAATAAGTATATTCGTTCCAAATAAGGATATAAAGTTTAATAAAGGGTAAATAATGAAGATAAATATACCCAAGATTTACTTTCTAAAATTGAAGCCTCGTTCTCAAGGAAGTAGTAAAATACAGAACAAAACTGTCTCGTCAGATACACGTTGATCGAGCAATATAGAAAGACTATTTAATGTTATATGGTTCAATAAGAAAGGCGTAATACAAATGAATTATTTTCGATGTACTAAATAGACAAATGGCCATTCTGAATGTGAATATTGAGAAGTAGAATCTACATGTAATCCGAACATTGGCGTTCGTTATTTCAATGCAACATTTAATATTCTGTAAATTTGAGGTGTTTCTTTCAGGTAAGTTACTTATTTATTTAGAAACGTTTGAATTCATTGTAATTGTATTAGTAGTAATGAATAGTAGATGAAGTACCCGGGGGTTCACTCCAAATAATTTGGGTAGATATATGCAGCACGGCCAATTTTGGCTTTGAGCATAAAACATGGAAAATTGTCTCTGAAATTAATCTACAATCAAATTTTTTATTCTGTCAATCAGTTCATATGGTTAGAATAAGGAAAGAATGTGATGTAACCACGTGTCTACTTACTAGCTTGTTCTATGTCATCCATCGGACTAGGTTACATCGTGGAACGCAGCCAAACACGACAATGAAGCCAGTATTCTGAGGTTATAAAATCTAAATCTAAATAATTTCCCATTTGCAGCCCCTTGGAGATTTCCGGAATTGAACAAAGTAGCGAACGTTGCGATCTTTCAACTTTAGTTCGTTGTTTTTTCACAACCTTGTGTGTACTGTTTTCATTTAGGAGGCGGTCTTATTTGAATGCATCATTACAGGTCTTTATGAATCAATAGATCAATAAACAGCTCTAAAAATACAATTTAGCAGTTTCTTTTATTGCGTACTGCGCATGTTAGGCACGAAAACAATTTAGCAGTTTCGTTCGTTGCGTAATTGGGCCTTCTATAATCAGTAGCAAATGCTCGGAAAACATTTTCAAAAATATTTACTTCCGTTTTCCTTGAAGACATGATTGGGTGACACGTCATTTACACGTGATTAAGTCACATGATCGATACAGTAACTAGTCACGTGATCAGACATGTGTCACGTGTCAGTCACGTGAGCTTGCAAAATGGACGATCTAAATTTCCAAAAATTCGGCTAAGATCAAGATAGATATGCTGTTGCCTTCAGCGTCCTGTTCGGCTGCGTTCCACGATGTAACCTAGTCCGATGGATGACATAGAACAAGCCGGTAAGTAGACACGTGGTTACATCACATTCTTTCCTTATTCTAACCATATGAACTGATTGACAGAATAAAAAATTTGATTGTAGGCTACCCACAGTAGCTCACAGTCAGCACTATCAATGGTACCTTTAGCAATATAAGAGAAAAGTCCGAAAGGTCTTTGTCACAATATTTACCGATCCATCCACTCCTTCCAATACGCATGCGCAGCCTGATGTAAAAAATAAGGCCGTGACTGGAGAGCCTAAAATTTTAGGCTCTTTAGCATTTTGGTAACCAATTTGGCTAAAGAGCCTTAAATTTTAAGACTCTTTAGCATTTTGATTGCCAATTTTGCTAGAGAGCCAGTCTTAGAGGAATTCTAAGCGACGGAAATAACAAAATATTGCTTCTGGGACGAGATCAAACGACTCTGACATATTTTTACCCAACCTATTTTGTAATCTAACAATCAACACAAATTAACATACTATATTTAACGATATTTAAGCAGATACCGAAGATATTCATAAAAATATATTTTTCGATCGATAAACTCACCGATTATTAAACCGGAAGTGTCTTCTCTGAGGTCCGCGAAGAAAACGAAGAAGAAAACATACAAAGATTTTAGTCATTTCAATTTTGCCGTGGATTTGATTTTAAATGCTTCTATAAAATGATCTTCGAATGCTTACTTTGACTTCCTATAAGAACTGTTTTGACTTCCCAACTTCATAACAAGAACATTATCACTTTTTACTCGACTCGTAAATTTACTTCCGGTCTACCGAAAAAAATAAAAGTTCTTAGAACCTTTTCAACTCTCAGTATAAATTTGGCTTTTTAAAGGTTCAATAACCTTCGTGGTGCTGCTACTTGGAGCAGTCATATACTTGTTCAATTTGACTTATCAGTTAAGATGTTGATGTATAGAATAGGCCCTTTGGAGAATGCTGTTTGCTGTCCAGCATAAACTTTGAAACATGAACCCCATTCAAATCATTGGTGACTTCAAAATTTCCTTCTGGCATGAAGCCAGCTGACGTTTCTCCCATTTATAAAAAGAAGGATGATCTAGCTAAAGGTAACTACAGACCTGTGAGTATCCTGAACTGCTTATCTAAAGTTCAGGAAGGTATTATTTTTGATCAACTTACCTGTTATTTTGATAATATTTTATCGCCACTACTTAGTGCTTTCAGGAAGGGGTATAGCTGCCAGTCTGTGTTACTAAAATTAGTCGAAGACTGGAAGCTTGCCCTTGATAATAACAAAGTGGTAGGCACGGTGTTAATGGACCTGTCAAAAGCGTTTGACTGTTTACCGCATGATATTTTGATAGCCAAACTCACAGCCTATGGAGTTAGCGACTCAGCTACTTCTCTCTTGAAAAGTTACCTCTCTGACAGGCCACAGAGAGTAAAAATTTCAAATTCAACTAGCTCATGGCAAACCATATTGGAAGGCATCCCTCAGGGAAGTATTCTTGGTCCCTGTCTCTTCAATATCTTTATAAATGACATATTTCTAGCCTTGAAGAACTGTACCGCATGATATTTTGATAGCCAAACTCGCCACTTTATTGATGCCCAATTGGAGGCTAGCCTAAAAACGTTGATGAATTACTTTTGAGGGGGAAGTTTTGGCAAAAAATTGAAAAAATATTTTGTGCCTCTTGTCATTTGAAAATCCTAGAAAATTGGCATTTGAATCTAATAGGCAATAGATTTGGAAGTGTATTCTCTGATGTCCCCGAGCTGATGTCCCTACATTCCAGATAAACTGCATCATGATGTGCTGTATCTTGAATATAACAAGATCCTTTTCTTCATCCCCAGGTCTCCTTCATACTTTTTGCCACCTTCAAATGGGATTCCCCGTATTCTGTAAGCTTGTGAATATAGTAAGCCAATACACGTTTAATTTCACTCAACATGGATGGTTGAGCGTTGGAGAGAGCCCATGAATTTAAAAAATGTGTACATAATTTCCGGACCTCAGAGAACAAACTTCCAGTTTGTTGTTCATAATGAAAAAAAATGTACCAACGTGGAATCGAACCTGCGCGGTGGGAGTACTAGGCAAACGCCATAACCACAACACTAGAGTGTGTTTTTTGTAAAAACTATATTTCAATAATAAAACATATATAATTATACATAGGCCCAGTTACATTGTTTAATTTCTGTACAGTTTTTCATTTTCAAAATATGCATGTATACTTCCAGTTTTGTCTCTATTGAAAATTTATATTGCCCCCCTGGCTATTAAAACTTCTCTTTCAATTCTTATACTTATTTATTCCCATAATTTGTTCAAAAGTGATATTATCAAAAAATTTTCCATATATCCCTTATTTTTGTACACTCATAAAAACATGTTTAACATATTGTCAATTACATTACAATTCTCACAAAAAGAACTACCTTTAATTCTAAAACCATTCAAAATCTTATTACATGGATATATGTTGTGTAATGTTTTCCAGTGGATAATTAAGAGTTTGGTATCTACTTTGCACTTAAATGCTCTAAGCCAAGTTGCACATAAAATATCCTTACCGTTATACTGTAAAAATCTTCTTTTATATGTACATAGTTTTCCAAAATCTGATGTTTCATAAAATGTTATCTCTTTACCATTTAAATATACTAGAGTGGCTTGTACATGCATAAAATTTAAGGCTCTTTAGCCGAAGTGCTAAAGAACCTTAAAAGTTAGGCTCTCTAGTCACGGCCTTATTTTTAACATCGCTGCACATGCGTATTGGAGGATAGGAGGGATCAAGTGTGAGTTTGGACCAACTTTTGCAAGTTTGACCAGGAAATCACCTTTCATTTGGTATGTTAGTAACATTTTTGATCGTAGTGGTATGTAAGAATCATATACATGTCGAGTTAGAAGCATAAATGTCACAGTTTGAAGGATAAATGGAAATATAATCACTTCCGGTAAAAATTCTGACAAAAAGCTTTCGGACTTTTCTCTTATACTAAAGATAGTATACCATTGATAGTGCTGACTTTGAGGCTACCCTATGTCTATTTAAATTCAGTCTTTCTACAAAAAATTGTATTAAAATTTGTGTGAAACCTCCGGGATGAAGTAACTCTTTCACTGACATAAAACGAAAATGGTAACTGTTTTCCTGGACAACTCTGGCATCCAGTGTTCACTGTTCACAGTTCAACCTCCAAGTATACAGTTGGGGACAAAAATAAATGACAGGTCGATTTTCGATCACCATTTCCTAATTATGGTGGTCTGAAAGCCCATAATTTCCAATATTGTCTAGATATATATCCCTTAAAATTTGTATATTTTACATTTTGTATAATCTCATCCACTGATGTATGGCCTCTTGTAAATTCTCTTATTTTTAACATGGGAAATCCTCACTTCAGCAAATCCACCTGTCATTTACTTATGTCCCCAACTGTAACTCACTTACTCGAGTCTCTAGCTTACAGCTAGACATAACTTCATTGATTTCGTATGTACTCTAGAAAAGGTGCTACACGCACCTAGTACTCATTTTTTTTAAATTTTATAAATATCTTTAAGAATATTAATTGTATTTAGGATGAAGCGTTGCTTGTCTGGATTTAGATATTTCAAAATTTCATTTCGGAGTTTGACACATGGTGACATTTTCTCGCTGTATGAAAAATGGCTTCCGGTTCTGGACGTGAATAAAATGGAGGAAACTTTGAAATTATTCTCACTTAAAGAAATCAAATATAACAATAGATTCAGACGGGGATGTGGGCTTATGTTCTTCAAATCTACATGTATACATAAAGGTATATTTTATATTATTATGCCATATTTACTGTGCGTGTAACACAATGATTTACAATATTCATAGTACCAAGGCAGCTCAATCTTCTACTCAAAGCCGGAATATAGAGAAGGCTTTGGACCGAAGTAATAACTCACCATCATCCACTACCAGTAGTTCCAAGTTCGTTCAAAGCCACCATGGGCTTTGAAGAGTTTTTTGGGATATTTTTCTTTCTAGGTGGCTTCGCTGGCTTTCAAGAGCGCTCATCCTGTAGAAAATTCAATTTTACGGAACCAATTTACATGATAGA